GACCCCAGCCCTCCCAACCCCCAGACCTCAGTTCCCCATCAGCTCTCTGTGGCTCTGGGCCAGACTGGCACTAAAAAGGCTGCAAGTCCCAATTTTAGAATCCTCGAGGTGTCCTACCCTCCACACAGAAGCCCAGAGACATCCCCAGGCTTCTCCATCCAGGAACCAAGCTCAGTGGCTCCAAGACCTCATCACTGGAGCAGACGGCATAGAAAGTGCTTCTGCATAGCCACCATTGGCCACGGCGGGGATGCAGGATCCAGGCCGTCAGCGGACGAGCCTCAGGGTCTTTTCAGCGCTGTGTCTGAATTGCAGCAGGCCTGGGTGCCCGCGGCAGCAGCAGCTCAGCCCAGCCCGAGCCATCCCTGCCGGCTGTGAAAAAGGCATTTCTTTTGAAAAATAATTTATAATTCACGCCGACCTCACAGCAGTGACGCACACCCAGTGGAATGCAGGCGTGTCTGCCCGGGAACCTGAGACGTTAAAGCTCAGTGCAACGGGCCCATCCATCTCCCAGGCAGAACGACAGGTGGAGGCGGCCGCCCGGGGCCCTCGGGGGAGGAGACCAGCCTCAAAGGCTGACCAGGGTGCCCTCCTCTCGGATGGTTTCCATCGCGACTGAGGTAGCAGGTGAGGCCGGGCTGGGAGCCTGGGCCGATTGTCTACACACCAAGCTGGCATCCAGGAGGCCAGCCTGTTATCTTGGGGGCTGCTGGGACCCCCACTTTGGGGGGGCTTCCAGTGTGTCTGCTGGCACCCCTGAGGTGGGCTCTGTGCCGGCGAGGCTAGCACGATGACGCCAGTGTCAGGAAACGGGACCACTCGGGGCCAGGGTGAGGGAAGGGCCACGGGGCCTGGAACCCACCTCCCGGCGGACGCCCGGCGGCTCCCTGGTGAGTCTGCCTGAGGACCCACACTAGTCAGGGAGCCCAGGGGACAGGCCGGGCCCCAGCTCAGCTCTGCCCCGTCTCCCTGGTCCCTGCAGTGGGCCTTGGTTTGCACGTCTCTGTGAGGGACGGGTCAGCCTCAGGAGCAGAGACTGGAGGGAAAGGCCCATGTACATGCCCCCACCACACACACCCAATCCTGGTAGCTCCTCCATGTTTCTCCAGCCGCTCCTTCATCACAGGCCCTCCTTCCTCCCCTGCAGGGAGAGCAGAAGGGGCGCCCCGCCCTCTGGTCCAGGAGGGAGCAGGCGGGGAGAGGGAGAGACAGCGCTTCTGAACTCCAACCTTATTGCCAGCAGAGCAGGACCCTGCCGTCACCCCCATTTACAGCTGGAGACGCGGGGACAGGGATGGGGACAGAAGGGCCCTGCCCCTCACCCAACCCTCACCCGCTGACACGTGGCGCGAGGCCAGACCCAGAACCCCGACCCGTGAGGCTCTCTCCACCCCACTGTCTGGGGGTAAGCGTGTTGTCCTGAGACCAGAACCTAAAACAACTGGAAAGTCCAGGCCACCGTGCCCTCTGCGTGGCCTGAGCACCAGGGTCCACGTGGTGGGCGGTGCTTGGCCAAAGCGCACATGTCCCAGGACGTACATCGTCCAAGCCTCCAGGGCGACTCCTCGAACACCTGCACGCATGGAGTCTGGGAAACGGGAGCATCTGTAACGGGCCTGCTGGACCACGCGCAGCAGGCCTGCTGGCAAAGGGGCAGGAGCCGCAGCCAGCCCAAAGAGGAATTTATATCAGGGGGGGCGGGGATGACTGACGGACACGAATCTCCCGCAAACAGCCTCCATGGCTCCGAGCGCCCTTCCCCTTCTACGTGAAATCCTAAGATGAGCAAAAGGACCCACTCCACACCACTCGCCACCAGAGCCAGGCAACGGAGCCACCAGGAAGCCCATCCCAGACTCTGAGCTCGGCAGGGGGTCCACATGATGTCTGGGGCATCACTGTAGACCCTGGGTTTGGCTCGGGGGCAGAGGAGATGAGAAGGGGATCCCAGCACCCCCTCCGGCCACACTTCACAGACGGGAAGCCAGAGGCCCCAGCAGGTGGGTGGGGGTCTCGGCGCTGTGGCTCAGGACCCAGTTCCAAGGGTCTCGGCCACCCTTAGCAGGTGGGGCCCTGGATGCACCAGCCTCTGCCACAGAATCCTACACTCAGTTCCAAACACTGGGGTCCCATGTAAGATTCAGGGTGAGCATTGCATCCAAGAGATTAAAGAAAGAAGCGGAAGTTTGGGGAGAGCCAGCCGCTGCCTGGAGCCCGGAGTGGGGTCAGCCAGGTCCTGCCCAGTGGTGATGGGCCAGCCTCCCTGAGCTCCATCCATCCCTCTACAGGGAAGAGACAGGACATTGCAGGGAACTTTCTGGACCAGACATTCCGGGATTCCACCAGCCGGAATGCAGAGCCCGAGCTAACGTCTCAGGAGGTGGTCCTCTCCCTGGAGACACCACCAGCATCCCCCAACCCGTGCCCCCCATACAATGTTCCAGCTTAGTGCTAAGTGGATGCATGTCGGGTCCACTCATTGCACACTGGATGCACCCAAATCCACCCAAATCAAGGACTGATACAAAAACAGACACGGCCTGCGAGACACTCCCTTCCGAGTCGCCCAGGACTGTCATTTTCTTTCCCGAGACACTCGAGGCTCTGCAGACTCCAGCACAGCCCAGCTATTCTTAGTGCACAGGGATCCAGAATTAAAACAGAGGAAACGCCAGCTGCCTCGGCGGTTTGGGAACTTCCCTGAATATGAGGTTCCAGCCACAAAAATCCCACAGCCAAGAACGACTCGTCGTGGACGACGGCAGCGGAAACAATGGCTTATGCAACACGGGGGCCAGGTGCATCCAGAGACAGGAATGGCTGTGTCCTCATGAGGGAGGATGCCCCAGGGTGCCCGCCCACACGGACAGACCTCGCTCTCCCAGAGAAATCAGGGGTTAGCAGGTTTAAGACAAAGAGGAGAGAACATGCATTCCACTGCGGTCCATTCTCGAAGGCAAGGATGCTCAGCTGCTTTGTCCGGGTGTGTCCGCGGCACCAGATGAGCCCCCGGTGCACGGTGGGCACTCAGTCAACGCCAAATGCACGGAGGAGTTGCTCCTTGCACAGAGCCTGATAAAGCGTTGCCCCAAGACTGGACTGAACCCTCCCCGCATCGCGGAAAACCTGGGCTTTACAGTGGGAGCAGGATGGGCCAGCTGTGGTGACACCTTCTCCCTCGTTCCCCTCGGAACGCTCCTGAGAGGGGAAGGCAACCCGGGGCAGGACATTCTCCAGGCTCACGCCTGAATGAGCTCAGGGGGCTTGTCCTAAACCATAAGGCAGTGTCCCCGAACCACCGCCCCCTCCCTGGAAACTGCACCACCCAGGCTGGTCTTTGGGGAGATGACCCAGCCCCCGGAGGGCACGTGCAGCAAGCACAGACCCGTCCAGCCCCTGGGAGGGCTAGTGGAGGGGAGGCCAAAGGTCTCCCAGCAACCTGCTCACCCTGGTCACCTCCCTCTGGCAGGTGGGGACTCCTCGGATCCCAGGCCCACAGGAGCCAGTCTGAGCGCCCACCACCGTCAGGCCCGGGCTGCCCTCAGCAGCAAGCCCACCCGCCCAGGATCTCCCAGAAAAGCGCCAGGCCCAGCGGTCACCACGGGTGAACCAGGGGAGCGTGGCTTCCCAAAGGACAGGGCAGAGACGGGAGAGAAGGGACTGGAGACCTGTGACCAGGAGGGGTTCCTCCAGACCAGCGTGGCCGGCCCAGAACCTCTGGCTCCCTCCATCCTCTCAGAGTCGGGATGCTCTCCGCCCTCACCAAGGTGGCCCCCAGCCTGCCCAGAGATAAGTGGGTCCCAGTCGGCTCCGACGCCACTGCTCAGACTCCCACAGGGTTTCCTGGTGTGTCTGAGTTGGAGGTGAGGCTGCGGGCCCATGGGATGCAGCCCTCCCACCAGGGGACCCCACCACGGGACCCCAACACTCCTCCATCCACAGCAGTCTCCCCGCTTGTCCACCAACACCCCAAGCAGGCCCAAACCCCACTGCCCAAACACCCCTCTCCTGGGCAGCCCACGGCTGCTGGCTCCCTGCTCCGAGGCCCCTGCTCAGATGCCACCTCATCTTGGGAGGGGTCTCTGAGGCCTTCCTACGAAACACCAGCCCCCCACCCCAGTCCACCTGTACCCCGTCTCTGCTGTATTTGTCTCCGTGGAAGCTGTCACCCCCTGAGGTTCGGATCTGCTCAGTGTCTGTCTCTTCCACCAGCAGGTCAGCCTCACACGGGCAGGTGCTGGGTCTGTGATGTCCCCAATGTGTCCCCGCAGCGAGAACGGCACCCAGCAGGCAGGACGTGTGGAGGATGAGCACCAAGTGGGTGCTCCTCCCACTCGGAGGAGCCTGCCTCCTTGCCCTGGGAATGGCCTTCCCAGTTCACAGCTCATCTCTGGAAGCCTGCTGTGAAGGCCTGCCGAGGAAGCTGCCAAATCAGTCACTGCCCCCCACAGCCCCACAGTGGGCCTGCACGTGTGTGCACATGCTTATCCTCACACTGTGCCAGCTAAGAGTCAAGCTGGCCGCATATGAGAAAAAACCTAAAATGACGGTGCCTAAAAACCCAAGGTCAATCCCCATAGAAGGAAGTCTGGTCCCACTGTGCCAGAGAGCCAGACTCTGCACATCTCTTTGCTCCACCACCTTGGTGAACAGGTTTCATTCTCAAAATCATCTCATGGTCCAGGATGGCAGCTGGAGCTCCAGCCATCACCACTACATTCCAGACAGCTAGAAGGAGAAAGGGAAAGAAGGCAAAAAGGGCTTCCCCAACTGTCTGCCTGCCTTTTAAGAAGCTTTCCAGAATTGCTCCCAACTCTTTCCACCCACCACACAGGCCCTGTCTATCAGGGAGGCTGGGGAATGTCTTTTGTCTAGGCACACCTCCACCGGAGTAAAACCAGGGTTCCGATGAGATGCTCAGCCCTGGGTAGGTGTCAACCTCACCGGGCTGCCCTCCCCTGCCCCGGTGAAGCCTCCCGCGCTGGGGCACCACTCACCATGAGAATGCGCCGGTAGCTGTCCCGGTCGATGCCCCAGAGCTTGAGGTCAGTCTTGGCCTTCACTGTGGCTGCTCTGGGGGTGCCGTAGATGAGTGCCAGCTCCCCAAAGCTGCCTCCTTCGCTGATGCTGGTCACCCACTCTCCATTCACGTACACCTTCAGGGAACAGACGGAGAAACGTCACAGGGGCCGGGGGTCACCGCTGAAGGGGTCCCTGCAAGGAAGGGCACACGTCGCTGGGGACCCAGGCCCCTTGCTTGTGGGCAGGACTCTGCACCCCGGCCCAGGCGTGGCCTGGGTCTGTCGGCTAAGGTGCCCGGCTCACCCCAGTCCTGCTCAAGGCCACAGCTGGAGAGGCACAACCACACCGTCCCGGCAGCAAAGCCCAGGCGGGGGGCCCTTGGTCGTCAACGCCAATGAGCCAGGCCAGGGCCGGAGGGGGAAGCACGGCCCGGGGTTCCGGGTCTGCAGCTAAGTAAGTCCCGCCCACTCCCAGGCAGGCCTTTGAGCCGGTTCCTTATCAACGTGAGATTGGCCTCTCTGGGCCTCGGTTTCCCCAACTGCACAGCAATGATTTGGATGGGATTCCCACGGGGCATCCCCACTCTGACGCTCCAACCCAGGCAGGCACCTACACCTCAGCCACCTTCATTCATAAACTGCCCCTTCCCTCCCTGCCACTTGACACGTCTCCTGAGCATCCCTCGGCCCCTTGCCCCACCTCCGGCACACCCTGCTCGCCAGGAAGGGGCCATGCTGACTGTGTCCTTCTCAGGGCCTCTCCTCCCCACGGCCGGCCGCGCCCAGGCTCCCCGAGCCTTCAGTCAATGGGAGCGAAGGCCGGCCCGGCTCCGGCTGTGCCGAGAAGAGCCCGGGACAAGTTTCCCTTTCAGCCTGAGTGGGTGAGGCGCCCCACACAGTGTCCCCACTATGCATTGAGGGCGCACGTTCTGCATCCGTGCAACAATAGCACAGATGGCATATTATGCAGATTCGGTGACTATAAATTGACACAACACACCCTTTATTCCCTCAGCGTGTCAATGAGCTTAAGAATAGTTCCCATTGGCAACATGGGTGCGTATCAGGAAAGAATGGATTGCGATGAATCATGGAAGCGATTCTTACTGAAATCAATGACTCATTATCTTGATGATAACTGATGCACAGAATTGCCTACGTGCAAGAAAACGCTGTGCAGAGTGGTAACTCCATAATTCGTGCAAGTGAGGGTCAGGGTGGAACTGGTCAGCGGAGAAGTTTGTAGGGAAATGGACAACAGTGTGCAGAGCCACCTGGAGGAGCCTGTGCCTGCCGGGGGTCCCCCTTCACCCCCACCCGGCCCAGCCGTGCTCTCTTGTTCCTGGAGGGAAGTCGGGGCAGCTGGGTGCACGGGAGAAGACACTGGCATCCACTCGACAACGTCCTGTCCTCCCAGCAAGGCAGGGACGAGATGCGTGAGAGACAGCTGGCAACCCCGGATTTAGGGGTGAAGGGACCACAGAGAACATCCTCCTAGCCTCTGCCTCTTGTTCTCTCAAAGGGAACCCAGAGCCCGGGGGGATGGTGATGACCCACTGACAGTCAGGGTAACTGGGGCACAGCCAGGCTGGCAGCGCCACCCTCGTCTTGCGCTAGTGCTCCCACATTTTTGTAAAATCCCATCTACAAGGTTTAACTCACCAGCATGAGCATGCACGGATCCTGAGTGTGCAGCTCAATGAGTTTTCCACCACTCAGATCAGGTACAAACGTGCCTGGGTCCCAGGACCTCCTGGTGCCCACCCCCCCAGGGACAGGTCCCCATGGTGACATGGGGCATGGAGAAGGGACTGCGCACACCACACCTGCTCCGCATGTCTGTGAGCGCTGGGTTTAGTGCCTCCGTTCCACTGCCGTTCTGTGGGTGACAGTCTCGAGTTCCGGCTGGGTTACAGAACGTTCCACCAGCGTGGAACGTTCATATGTGATCCATGTGCCCTGGGTGGCATTTGCTGTGTCACAGGGTGGACATGCTGGCTTCAGTGGGTTCCCAACCCCACCGGCACCCACTGCACTTCTGCCCTCGCGGAGGGCCTGCTGAGTCGTGACAGCGAATGTGAGTCGGAGGTTGGGGGCCTCTCCCCCTCGCGCCCAAGGGAAACGAGGAAGCCATCTGCCTCCCACAGCTGCCAGGTAGGGGCAGGACGCCCCCCTCACCCGCCTCGAAGGGCACAGGGACCCAGGGGACAGGGAACAGTGTCTCAGCAGGGCCAGCCCGAGGCAGCTGCACCCCAACTTTTGTGGGGCACAGCCTCAAACAACAGGCAGGGCAGCTGCCACTGCAGGGCAAGACCAAGGGGACCTGGGCCCGGAGTCATCGCCACGGGGGCCATGAGGACCCCCTTCCTCGCCACGGCCTCCGAGAGCTCCCTCCGAGGCGTCAGAGAAAACCATTGTGCGGAGCCTCGGACGGGGCCCAGGGCCCCGAGCACAAAGGGGCCATCCTTCTCAGGACACTGGCCTCTGTCACCACGGCCGGCCCAGCGCTGGGCCCAGCGCTGGGCCCCACCCCAGCTGGCAGGCAAAGGGGCGACTTCTTGCTTTATTTCATTTTTGTTTTTTCTTCTTCTTTTAAAAATAAATGGTGGGAGGCCCCACTGGGCTACATTTATACTCCCACATCAACTGCGGTTTCTCCGGCTGAAACCAGGGCTCCCACCTGGCTGTTCTGCATTCGTTCATTCATTCATTCATTCATCCATCACCCGTGGTATGCACTGAGTGCCCCTCGCTGCCCAGCATGTTCTAACTGCAGGGGTTCGGTGGTGGAAGGCAGGGGATTCAGGTTCACAGAACCAGCCAGTGGGCAGGCTGTAGGCACATAATCACCCAAGCACAGATTCGTTATAAAACATGTTACCAGCCGTGAAGAGAACGGGATGCAGAGTGTCCAGGATAAAGGCCACAACAGAGTCTGTTCAGAGAGGGGTTTCTAAGGAGGTGAATTTGAGCCCAGCCCTGAATGGCCAGGGGCCACCATGCAAAGATTTGGGGGAAGAGAGTCTGATGCAGAGGGACAGGACTTGCAAAGGCTCTGAGGCAGGACTGCATTTGAAGGGTACTGGATGCAGCAAGACCAAGCAGGGGAGAGAGATGCCAGTGGGCAGGAGCGGTAGGTGGGGAGAAGGGAAGGGCTCAGATGTGATTCTAGAAGCAACAGGAAGCCAGAAAAGGTTCCAGCGGGGCTGACATGATCTGGTTTACATCTGTGATGCTCCCTCTGGTGCAGTGTGGAGAACGGCTTGGGGACAGCCAGAGGGGAGCAGGGGAGGAGCGAGGCATGCCCAGAAGACACAGCCCTCGGCCAGGTGCACCAGCTCCACTTGGGAGCCTGTGGAAATGCAGATTCTCCTGCCGCGTCGGGCCCCTGGGTGGTTATGACGCAGGCCCGAGTCAGACAAGCTCTGACTCCGACTTTGGTAGGGACAGAGGTGGAGACAGCGACTGGATTGAAGGCATGGAATCTGCTTAATAAAATCCCAGAAGCGGGGACCCGGGGGGCACTGGACGTATTGGTCCGGGGACTTCAGACGCAGACCACGGCCGTGCCTGCCGCCAAAACCCAGGCAGGCGGCTGGGGCAGCCCGGGCTGCAGGGCTGCCAGGAGAGGCTGGGGTGTCCAGGCCCAGGGGCAGGGCTGGCTCTGCTGCCCCGCTCCACTGCCAGCCCCCCCACCCTGGGCATCTCAGGTCAACACTCGACGCCATAGAAAAGCTAACCGTGGTTGAAATAACCCTCTGGGTAAGTGGAGACAAAAAACCAGTCACCTGAGTGAGCCACCAACCTGAGGACGGGAGTTGTGTGGCCTCACCCCCCCAGTTCCCTCCTTCCTTTCACACGCCACCCGGGCCGACCTGTCGCAGCCTGGGCCAAGAAATAACTCAGGCGTGTCATCAGGCTGTTGTTTTTGCTTTTCTCGATGGTGAGAAAGAGCTAACGGCCCGTCTCCTCCCGCCTTCCCAGGATTCCGCCAGGAAGAGCCAGAGCGTCTGTGAAGGGAGCCAGCACCTGCGTCCAGGTAAATCAGCTTCCCGCGCCCAGCCCGGGGCGTCTTTCTGGGGCAGCACCGGCCATGCCCACCTCTCTCTCTGCTCAGCTAGAAACGCAGCCCCACCCTGCTCTTCCCGCCAGGGGAACCCAGTTCTGTGCCTCAAGCACCTTTAGCCCAGAACACCGGGGTGGGTCAGGGCGGGGAGTTGTTTTGTTCGGTTTTTGCGGAGGTGCGATCCCTAGCAAAGATGCCTCTTCCCAAAGCTCCTGTCTGAGGGGCCCAGGCCATGAGAAACAGCCACGTGGGCTCTGTTTCCACCTCTCGGGGTGGCAGCCTGGCCAGCCAGGCTCCTCCAGTGGAACCCTAAATCCATCGTGGCTCCTGGGCCTCCTCCTGCCACCCCCCCGGTGACCCCACGCACACTGAGTCACCCCAAGGCGGGGTTTTGTCAGGACCCTGAGCTGAGTCTGGAGCACCCTTGCTCCTGGTTGACCTTATGCCCTCCCTAAACGGGTTGGGTGTGGGGTCTGCATGGGGGCCAGCACCCTCCTGTAAGCCATCAGTACCCCCCCTGTATCGGCCGTCGTTCCACTAACACCAGCACGTGTGGGGCGGCTCTGGTTCATCTGTCCTTCCGATTCCAGAGGACAGTCATTACCAGCTGAGTTTGATGCAGCTCCTAACCACAGCGGGGCCACCAGCACCTTGGCAGAGAACAAACAGTGCAGGCTGGGTCCCTGGATGTGCTCCACAGGTAAGACGGTGCTGGAAGGCGCTGAGACACTGTAGAAAAGCCACAGCCAGCTCTGGGCCCAGCCACACAGCGCCCAATTAACCAACAGGGGACCGACTGACAGAGGGCGCCCAGAAAGCAGGGATTCGAAGAGGGACGTGCACCCCCACGTTCACAGCAGCTTTATTCACAATAACCAAGAGGTGGAAACAACCCAGATGTTCACTGATGGATGATGGATAAACACAATGGTCCATCCATACAAGGGAATATTATTCAGCCTTAAAAAGGAAGGAAATTCTGACACATGCTACAACATGGATGAACCTTGAGTACATTGTGCTGAGCGAAATAAACCAAAAAAGGACAAATCCTGTAGGGTTCCACTCATATGAGGTCCCTGGAAGAGTCAGGTTCACAGAGACTGAAAGCAGATGGTGGGTGCCAGGGGCTGGGCGAGGGGGACGGGGAGTCAGTGTTTAATGGAGATGGAGTTTCAGTTTGGGAAGATGAAAAAGTTCTGGAGATGGATGGTGGTGGTGGTTGCACAACAATGTGAATGTGTTTAATGCCACTGAACTGTGTACTTAAAAATGGTTAAAATGGTAAATTTTATGTTATGCGTATTTTACCAATTAAAAAAACCACAACAGAACACCAGGCAAACATTGAGTGACAACTGACCACAACCCAAGGAGCTGATGGCCATGCCCTGGGCTGCCCCGTCCCAGGGACACTGCTCAGAGGCCTCGCTCCCTCCTTTGGCGGCTGGAGATGCACTCCTCCCGACATCTCGCATGAAACAGGAGGGCACTCGGGGCACAAAGGCAGGACCCGAAATAACAAAGCCTGGGAGAACCCAGGAGGAGCCGGTCTCAAGCGGAATGGTCCTCGAGCCCGTCAAGCTGGCAGCTGAGCATCCTTTTAAGTAGAAATGCTATGTTCCACGAATAAAACAAATTGGAAGATATTTTTATCCTCAGAAAAGCGGATTATAGCTCTTGGCAACACACACACGGCGGCAGGCACTTGTGGTGTCTCTCTGGAAAACCATAATTTAAACCAAACCTGGTGCTTTTGGCATTTGGTCACCTAGCCGCCCCCTGGGGCACTGTTGGTCAGAGGGCAGCGCCATCCCTGAGACAGGAGGGGGCATGCGGGACACCCAGCCCAAGCCCCGCCCGTTTAAAAGGCCAGAATGGGGTCCTCAGAGGTGAACCCACCTCCTGCGGGACTCCGGGCCTCTATGGGGCAGCGGTGCAGACGGTCAGTCTCCCCTCCCTGCTCCCCATTCCAGTGACACTGGTCTCGCTGCAGCTTCGAGGGCCACCCTCAGAAACCTCACAGCTAGCCCTGATGGCCCTCAGGCCCCCGCTGCCCCATGCCCCCCAGCCAGGTCGTTCCCCTGTCCCCTGGAAGGCAGTCTGCAGAAACAAGCAGACACGGCCACTCTTGGGCCCCAGAGGAGCTGCTACAGTTCCATCACAGAGCAGTAATCACAGTGATTACTGTCACACACAGCCCCATAACTCATCCGGCTGGCCGACATGCCGCTCTCTCATTCCAGATCCCTGACTGAGCATCTTTGATTCTCTTAAATGTGGCCTCACCCACTTGGCCGCCCTGCCCAGCCCTGCGTGTTTACCCTGTGCGGCTGACCCTCCCACATCACAGGAGGGTCCCCTTGGCCCCTTCAGGCCCCGCCCGGCACTCCCCACCGCCCACCCAGCCTGGCTGGAAAATCTGAGGAAACGCACAGAGGTGTGCGGCCTCGACGGACATCACGACAGCCCCACAAGCCACCGCCTTGTCCGTCAGCCCGACTGTCCCGAATCCGAGACTGCAGCCGGGAAGCGGGCGTCCGCCCACGGTGCCCAGACAGCCTGGCTCTGCCCAGCCGGGGTGCAGGGAGCCCTTAAAGCAGCCTTTGTACCTGAACCGCCAAGCCGGGCGGGGGGGGGCTGGATCTGCCAAGACAATATATTTGGGGAATTCCGGTTACAAGAAGGTGACCTCACTGTTTCCCTTCACAAAATCGCTTCCACGCATCCCCCGCCTGGAGGGAAGCCAGCCACAAACAACACTCGGGGACGGAGGCTGGGAACCACCCTCAACTCAGGCCTCAGCCCTGACCCCCATCCTAATGGGCCCCGGGGCCTTGCTGAGACCTCCCTGGGGGCCGGGAGGGTCCTGTCGGATCAGCCAGCCCCTGGGCACAGGTCGGAGACTAGCCCCTGCTCTGAAGGAGCTCAGGGCCGCAGGCACAGGCCAGGCCAGTCCCACCTCACAGCAGACGAACAGGGAGTTAGACACGACCTGGGGTCAGGGGGTGAGACCACGTGGCACTTTACAGTCTGCAACCAGAGTGCCGTCCTGTTGGACCTGAGTGAGTCTGGATGTGAGGCTGGTGCAGAATGTTCGAGGAGGAGGAACAGCCCTGCTAAGAAGCTGAGCGTTCTGCGCCAAGCTCCGGTGACACAAGCTGGCACCTTGAAGACATCTTGGGAACTGAGTTGGAAGATTCGTCTGACTTCAATGAACACAGAAGAGAGAAGAGGACTCCGGGGGAGGAAAAGCAGGAGCTGAGATCCGGATCCACTTGGGGCTCCTATCTAGCAGGGAGGGGCCTGGTCCTCAGTTGTCAGCACAGTGAAGTGAGGAGGTTCTGCCTTGATGGGGAGGAACCTGGCCTGGGAGGGGTCTTGAAGGATGCACAGGAGTTTGCAAGGCAGAGCAGGAATAAGAACAGAGGGACAAGAGGGGTAAAGACCCAGAGGCGAGATGCTCATTTGTGAATTTCCTGCTTATTGGCCATCTGCCCCTACAAATCCCCAAGGGCAGGGGCGGTGTGCCCCCCGCCCCACCCCAAGTGTATTCTCAGGGCTTTGCAAGCACTCAATGAACATCTGAGCAAGAAACAGAAGAAGAGCAGAGAGAGAGGTTTGAGAACAGTTACGGGGCAGAGAGAAGGAGGTAGAGAAGGACCGGAACAGAGAGATTAGGGCCGGGTGGAAAGACCGGGATCTGACCCAGGAACAAGCCAGCCCCACACCTCCCAGGGCTTGCTCTGTCCCTGGGCATCTCTGAAAGCTAGGGCGGCTCCGGAGACGGCCGGGACCCAGGACGATGCCCAGCTGAGACTCTGGCCGCATCCCTGGCTGTCTTCTCTACTTCCTGAGCTGGTTTTTTTTAACCCAAAGTGAAGCCAGCAGGAGTTGACTTTGTGGGCTGGCAGTCTGAGCCCAGGGTCACAGCCTTGGCCGCTTGTAACCCTCCCTCCTCCACACGCTTCCTCCGCGGCCATGGGCAGCCCCAGGCCTTGGCTCCCGCCTCAGCTTCCTTCTTCGGTGGGAGACAGAGGCCCATCCCACCTGACACGAAGGTCTGCCCCAGACGCCTGGGCCAGGCCTGAGTGAACGCAGGACGGAGAGAAACTCCGACTCCCGGTCTGCTTGGCCGGGGCCCTCGAGGTGACTCCATGTGCCCTGGCTTTGAGATCCCAACCGTGAGTCACTTCCTGTGCTGCCAGCTCCGGAAGCTGAGAGCCGTCTGCCCCGGTTCCCAGAACACGGTGACCATGGTGGACGCAGGTGGGCTGCTGGGGAAACAAATAAGTAAATGCCCCCCAAAAATAGCCCTGGCCATACCGGAGGCCAAGCCCTGAAATAACGGCTGGGGCAGCCAGGCTGGGGTGGCACCGCTGAGCAGAGCAGGAACCAGCGCATGGTGTGTGGTCAAGGGGAGGGCAGGGGGCCACTGATGCCCCATCCCAGGTGCTGGTGTCCGAGGCCCAGAGGTGACTCGGGGACCAGCCTGGGACGTGGTGACTGTGCGCCAGGACTATGGACCCACAAATGCCGTCCCTGCCCTCAGGGGGCTTCCAGTCTGTTGTTGGGGGGTGAGGGGCTTAAACAAGCCGTCCTGAGGAAACGGGCATGACCTCGCAGTCCTAGAAGGAAGCGCTCACGCTCGGGGCCACAGAGAAAACCACAGGGTGAGACGCATCTGCCGACGCCCAGGCTGAGGAAGTGACTGTGGAGGGAGACCAAGAGGAGCAGCAGAGGCTGAGGTGACCCCGGCAAACGGAGTGGGAGGGGCACCTGGCAGAGGGACTTGCGGCAGTGAGACGCTGGAGGTTCCAGGAACCAAGAGAAGCCCGTGTCACCTGGGCCCTTCCTGGGGTCACCTCAGAGGCCTGGGCCTGATTGGGAGAAACCCGCTTGAGGAGTTAAGTGAGAGACAAGGCCCGCGTGGAGAGCAGCCTGCGGGCCCAGCACGGACGCCCGCAGCCACTCAAGCTGGGGGCCAGGGCGCAGGGGATGGAAGGAGGCGTTTCTCCTCCTGACACAAAGCAAAGCTCTGCCGCCTGGAGCAGCCCCGTGAGAGTGCAGGTCCCCCATCTCTGGAGACAGGTGAAATGAGTACAAGGAGCAAGGCTGACTGAAAACCGGAGAAAATGACATTCTTCCAGACGGACGGTAATGACGCAGGTGTTCTGAGGACGGAGTGTCACGCTGGACACCAAAGGCCGCTGTCGGTTCCAGGTAAAGTCAGGACCTTTGGGGTCTGTGGACATTTAACTCCCCACCCACGTTAAGAAGCATTAACACCAGTGCAATCGAGTCAGCTGGGGCATCACGGGCTACAGATTCAGGGCCAAGTTTGGCCAAACGGAGCCACCAGGGATGGCAGTCCGCACACGCAGGAGAGGGACGGCACCGGAACCGCGGCCACACAGCACCTGCAAGCAAGCGCTCCTCTTTTAAACTGTGTTCTGATTTTTTTTTTTTGAGGAAGATTGGCCCTGAGCTAACATCTGTTGCCCATCTTCCTCCTTTTTTCCTTTTTTTTTTTTTCTCCCCAAAGCCCCAATAGATAGTGGTATGTCATAGTTGTACATCCTTCTAGTTGCTCTATGTGGGACGCCGCCTCAGCGTGGCTTGATGAACGGTGCGAAGGTCAGCACCCCGGATCTGAACTGGTGAACCCCAGGTCACCGAAGTGGAGTAGGTGAACTTAACCGCTAGGCCACCGGGCCAGCCGTGCTCTGACATTTTTATGTTATCTTTTAAATGAACTCTATGACTTTTCTGGATTAAAAAATTAGAAATGTGTCACTCAGAAAGAAGTTTTCTCTAGACCTGAGCTTGTCAGCGACCCGGTTGTATAGAAAGAGGCAATATCTTCCAAAAACGGTTAAGACATACTTACATCCACTTCTCCTTGATCTATCACGTAGAAGTTGTCTCCTTCATCCCCTGTAACAAAAGAAGAAATACAAGAGGTTTAACGCAAAGGACACAAGTTTCGAGTTTGTTTTTCTGGCGAACAGTGTTTCGACACTGTGTTACCATTGTCAAACAAGACACTGGGTCTCATCTATTTTTTAAAAATTTTTAAAAGAAAAATTGTATACATTTAAGATGTGTAAAACGACGCTTTTATAGACGTGCACACAGTGAAACGATTACTGCAGTCCAGCTAGTTAACACACCATCTCCTCACATGGTCACCAGCACTGCCTGTGATGACCACACCTGAACTCCACTCTCTCGGCACATTTTCAGCACTCGGGACAGTTCATCCATTTTTTCAATGACAAGACTCTTGAAACGTATTGGGTTAATTTGTCATGCAAATTATGGCTCAGTTTCATTAGTGACTTTTCTCCAGGATAGACAATGAGAGTTTTTTATTAATATATTTTGTTAAGTGAACAGCCCATCTTTTTCCCCATCGGCTATGGCTCAGAGAAAGAGAAAGGATCGTACCTTGCTGTATAACGGTCTCCCCGGCGATGTGAGTGACAGGGAACATGGCATCGAATATGTCGCTGGAAAAGAAAACACACCCAGTGGGGGAGCTGTGGTGGCTGAACCCGAACCACCACCTGAACCCACCTTGCCAAACCTCACCTAGGCCACACAGGCTTGGGCAAAGCAAGTCGTGTTCACCCAGGATATGGAAATCCATGTAAGTTAAAGAAGGGAATAAAATCCTTCACGACCCCGCTGTCCAGAGAGTAGCCCCAAGCCCTGGGCACGTGCCGTCCTGATCTGTTTCTTCACCAAGACAGGGTTTGCTGTTCGGGTTTTTACAAAAACGGGATCACTGGACACACCGCTGTGGACTCCACTTAAAAAGCAAAAGTGACAAAAAATCGTGAACATTTCTCGGATCGGCAAAGATCATTCTACTGGACCTGGTCATCAGTCTCGACCTGTTTTCTGCATTTTTTCCCAGGGAAAGTACTTTCCATCAAGCGGGTCCTGAGACCCACATGCAGGAATGAGACGTGAGTTTGGAGTCTCCGCGTTAGAACCAGACTCTACAACATGCGACTCCATGAGCCACCGAAGCCGGAAAGGCTGACGCACGGGGCTGCGCCAACCAGGCAGCCTGGCCATTCAATTTCCCAAATTGAGATGTGAACGTGACCCTACAAGGAGGATGCGAAGGGGAGCAAGGAGGAGAGGCTGGGGGAAAGGTGGGGAAACGCCTGCACGGCAGGGACCTTGTATCCACAGGGTTGCAACCAGAACATAGGGTCAGAGGTCAGCATCTGGATCCCAAAACACAACCAGCACCCTGAGAGGCTGTGCCCACCCACAGGCGAGGGGCTCCCGAAAGAGAAGGGTGGAGCTGGGGGCCCTCAGTAGGAAACGCGGGCTGTGAGTTCAGGATGGTCTGCTGACTCCTCCAGGCTGTGGAAGAAGGGGGTTCTCGGAAACCTTTGCTGGTCAGGGTGGGTGAGCCTCAGAGGGACTCACAGGCGCCCCCAGAAGCAAAAGCAAAATCAGAGATATAAGCAGCCCTGTGCCCTCTCATTTCCAGGGCCCCGAAAACATAGATAAGTAATCTTAGGATAGTAGTCATTTTCTATTTAAGAAACGTTTCTTCCTCTCTCTGAGAAGGAGGGCAGCACCCTGGGGAGGTTCACAGGAGCCGCTCCCTGGCCCCCTCCCCACCATGCAGTGAGGGGCCTGGACGAGCTGTCCCGCCGTCCAGCCCCTGGCATCCATGCCCCAGCCCAGGCTTTGCTTCCCGGCCACAGCATCCCTGGGGAGCATCTGCAGGTGCATCTGGTCACTGTTTTTCAAACTGCATTTCTTCCAAACCACAACATCAGGGCTCTTAAACCGAGCAGGTCTTTAAGAAATGATTTTACAATTCCTCTCTCATATTTTAAAAAACTTTAACTCATGATGGTAAAATATTTCAAAAAATTCCATAAATAATCAAGCAGATCCCAGATTATTTATCTGGAATAAATAATCCAGCGTGGACTGGTGGAAGCATTCGACATCTCTGCTTCAGGTCCCTCTGCTCTGGGAAGCCATCAAGACTCACAGGAGGACCCCTGACTCTGGGTGTGGTGGGCAGTCACTGCCCACCCCCAACACACGCTCGGTATGTTTACTTCACAACGAGGCATCCGTGAAAAGGGCCCTTATTATTTGGTGTCTTTATCATTCACAGGCAGGTACTGTTTGCATCTCCATTCTCCCTCCTTGTTTTCTGAATTGCATCTATGTGGAGACATGGAGCCTGGTTATCCCCCTCACGGCTGCCTGGCCTCCTTTGCACGAACACTCATGGTTCGTTCACCTGCTCCTGTCCTGAAGGACGTTTCCACATTTCTGTAGTCACAAACGGGGCCACAAAGAACGTGAGGGCTCCCCAGGAAGAGACAGGCAGATACAACGCCTACACCCCCATAATCTGGGGCTCATGTTCCACCTGTGCGCTCGCCCCAGGCTTGAAGATTCAGGTTCCCAAACTGGGTGGCTTAGCACTTGCATCAGTCCCAGAGCATTTTCTGCATGCCCAGGTACATCTGCCCCCCTGGGCCCTGGCCTGGAACCCCACTGACCACAGAGGTATCTCCCTAGCTCCCGGGGGCATGGCCAGCAGAGAAGCAATGCGGGGAAGGAGCGAACCCCAACTCTGAGCAGCGAGGCTGGAGAGCCCAGCCTTGTTACCAAAAAGGCCTGCTTCCCCCATGCCCCTCGGCTCGTAACCAGCCAACGCTGGAACCAGAGGCGTACAGGCGACGGCCACACGCGCTCTGGTCAGCTCGGCCCATCCCCCACTGAACAGCACCCACTCCCTTTCCATCGTCTGTATCATTTCAAACAAAACCCAAACCCCTCCCTCCCTCCCTCTGAGCACTTAATGGCATTAAAAGGCACTGGCTGCCTCCGGCCCTCAAAAGAAAAACAGCTTTCTATTCTAACCTGGAAGGTTCTACTGAAGCTTAAAGAGTCTCACATGTGGGTCCCCCACCCACCCTGGGCGCACAGTCACTGCTTAGTACTCGTCCCTCAGGGACTGTGCCTGGTTCTGGGGACAGAGAAAGCCCCCAGTGCTCAGGGACAGAGATGTGGACACGTCGCAGCCATCGCTTCTCAGGGGTCCGAGGGCCGCGCTGCTCCATCCGCACCATCGCTGTGAGGTCAGGACTGGAGTTGTCTCCATCTCCAGAGACGCTCAGCAACGTCACTCAAGGTCAGCAGCGAGGAAGAGGGGAGGCCGGGCTGCACCCTGTCTGTCACACGACAGCCTGGATCTCCCGGGGTGCAGAGCTGTGGGGCGCACTGGAGGGCAGCTCCCCTGGGACACAGCCTGAGCAAGGACTCCAGGTGTGGAAGGGGAGGTGTGTTTGGGCACCCGGGTGACGTCGGTCTCAGGAAAGTGCTCTCAGAGACCAGGTCGTGGAGGGCCTCGGGTGACAAACCTGGGGATGCCCCCAGTCGGGATAGACCCGACTCGATTTCTCTCCATCACCAGGAGGCAGAAATATCTGGGTCCCAGGAGAAGCCCAGGCAGAGGGCCCCCAGCCCTTTATTGCCCCCCAACAGCAACGTCCTAAGGACCATGAGATGGCATCCACCCGGCCTCAGTTCTCAGCTTGAAGGTGGGGTCCTCCATCTCCCGAGATGCCCCAGGTCCCAGAGCAACCACTGCTCCCTTATTAATGGGGGCAGACGAGGAAGGGGTGACCACTAGCCTTATTGCAGTGTCTCTGTGGGCCCAGGGGGTGCCTTCACTAAACCCCCTCCAAACAGCCCAGACATGATCTTGAGGGCAACACTGCTCCTTCTTTATTGGTTCCATCTGTTTTTGTCACTTGAGGTCCAGGGCTGGTCCTCGACCCTGTTGTACCACGGACGCCTTTGGCTTCTGGTTCTGCCTACGCAGCTCCTTCCAGAATAAGGATTTTAAATGTGCAAAATGAAATACATCAAAAATCAAATGAAATCACTTCTATTGAAACGCAGTACCAAAATGTTTACGGAATTCGTCTGCAGCACATTATGTACATGTTATTGCATCACTGCATCGCACAGCGAGCTCAGGAATTATTCATAATAACTATTCGAACTGTGAAGAAGGGACAAACATAGGCGACATTTCAAGACATCTGAACAGCCACGATGTGACATGAAAATGCCCATGTTTCCTGCTGGTGACAAGACGACAGCCCCGCTGATGCCACCTGCTCATGATGAAGGGAAACGTCAATGTTAGTAAGAGGTGAGCGAGAATCGGACAGCGAGTTTTCTCTCCCAAGTTCACGGACTCCTTCTAAGGTCCCCTCCCTCTGCGCCCTGGGCCGGCCTCTGAGCTGGGGGGCTGCAACCCAGAACAGAGCCCCTACTGGCAGGGCCGAGGCTGCAGACGGTGCTGGGTCACGATGGTGTCCAGGGAACACCCTGGCCTGGACCCAAACGGAACCTCTGTGATGCTCAGGGCCCACAAAGTTCCAAAGGCGGTGGGAGACCTATGCTGGGTCCCAGCTCCCACCTGGCCCACAGCTCAGATATCACAGCCCTTTGGAAGTTCCTGCCCCTATCACCCCCATCATGGTGCCTCTCCCTCCCTGGGGCCCCTCTGTTCTTGCCCTCCTTACTCTGCTGCTGATGTTTCCTGACTTCCTGCCTCCCCTAGCTGACTGTGGGTTCTGAGAATGGAGATCACATCTCCACTGCACCTAACGCACAGTGCCCAGCCGGGTCTAACTCACAGCAGGTCCTCAGTACAACATGGATGGAAGGAAGGATGGATAGATGGTGATGGAAGGATGGATGGATGGATGGATGGTGTTGGAGGGATGGATGGATGGATGAATGGTAGGTAGATGGATGAATGAGTGGATAGAAAGAAGGACAGTGGATGGATGGGTGAAAGGATGGTGGATGGAAGGAAGGATGGATAGATGGTGATGGAAGGATGGATGGATGGGGCCGGCCCCGTGGCTTAGCGGTTAAGTGCGCGTGCTCCACTGTTGGCGGCCCGGTTTCGGATCCTGGGTGCACACCGATGCACTGCTTCTCCGGCCATGCTGAGGCCGCGTCCCACATACAGCAACTAGAAGGATGTGCAACTATGACATACAACTATCTACTGGGGCTTTGGGGGAAAAATAAATAAAATTATAAAAAAAAATAAAAATAAAAAAATAAAAAGGATGGATGGATGGATGGATGGATGGTGATGGAGGGATGGATGGATGGATGGTAGGTAGATGGATGAATGAGTGGATAGAAAGAAGGACGGTGGATGGATGGCTGAAAGATGGTGGATGGAAGGATGAATGGAAGGATGGTAGATGGACGGAAGGATGGTATATGGATGGATGGATAAGCTGGAAGGATAGTGGATGGATGACTGCAATGGTGATTGATTGGAAGGATGGATGGAGGACGAGCTGTCTGTTAAGGCAGCTCCAAGATAGTAGATCAGCTAGGATGAGTGTGGGTCTTTTGACAAAAGTCCCTGCTTCCTGAAGCCATTCTCTATCAAAGTATTAGCAGTCGATCTTGCGTCCTG